GCAGACAGAAAGACAGATAAACAGAGACAGACATATAGGCAGGCAGACAGATAAATAGACAGAGAGACAAGACATGTTTGTGTGTAACAGTGATAACAAATACAGCAAGGGTTAGCTGGAGCAGTGGGCATTTATCAAATGTCACTAGGCAGTGACATTTCATAACACCATGCTTTAAGGTATATGCCAGGGTATCTAAAACATTGCTGGGACCTATAAACACTTTGTATATATTTCTAGACAATGGTAAATAACCCAGGCAGGTGTAAATGTTCACCTGTCAATGTGATTGTGGCTATTTGAGCACCTAATATTAGTGTCAGAACAAAGACTGGCTATGAAATTACAAGAACTATTATAAATTGTAATTATCAGAACATAAAAAATATATAAATTAAAATAAAAACGAGAAAAAAAGGTATATCGGCAACACTTCTGCAAACGGCAGGAGTTGATATTGCCGACAGGTGAGCATCCAGAGCCAACTTCATGGTCTTATATCTCAGTAAGTACTGACCCTAAAATTTTTTTGAATCCTATAACATGAAGAAAAATGTGCTCTTAATTTAATTTTTTTTTTTTTCAAAATATTCGGAGCGCCACGTAAGTGAACGTAGATTCATGTTTGGAGAGTTTAAGGGTTAATCACTTCTAACAACTACCTTAAGGTGCCATTATAAATGAAGGGAGCAGTAATGAGATATCATGGCAAAAATTGTAAACAAAGTCAAGTGTGTTATGGGGAGTCACTGGGTCAAAGGTGGATTTATACACATTTTCTCCGGTGCTGGACGAGAGAAAACAATTTTTTTCCCTCTACTCAGCTACCACACCTCATATTATTTATGTGAAATTTATTGCACTGTGGGTGTATGTATCATACACACACAGTACAGTGGACCCTCAGTTAACGACATTAATCCATTCCAGAGAGCTTGTCCTTAATCGATTTTATCGTTATCCGAATTAATTTTCCCCATAAGAAATAATGGAAATCCAATTAATCCATTTCAGACATCCAAAAGTATTAAACAAAATAATTTTTTATATAAACTATACATTTCCCTACACAGAAAACAATGATACATGAAGAATAAAACAATAACAACATCACACTTAACTTTATTGAAGACATGGTGATGTATGGAAGACAGGAGGAGGGGAGAGGATAGAGGGGTTTACAAATTGTTTGGAAGGAGAATCGTCTTCCATAAAGACTTCAGGTACCAAGTCCTTATCCTGGGTTACTTCCCTTTGTTTTTTAATGCCACTAGGACCAGCTTGAGAGCCACTGGACCCCTGTCGCTCAAAAAAGTTTTCCAGAGAGGTCTGTTTTTGGTGCATGTTAGGCATTGTGTTGGGAAACACAAGATAGTCCTTCAATATGACACTAATATCAGCTCTACGGCTTATTTATCGAACACAATTCATCTAATATGACACAATAAACAATATTAATAACATAGAAACATGACATATACTCTAGAATGAATAAAATACATCATTAAGTATGTCCTCCATGGGGAAGTGGAACAGAATTCTTCCTCCGTAAGCCATGCGTGTTGTAAGAGGCGACTAAAATGCCGGGAGCAAGGGGCTAGTAACCCCTTCTCCTGTATATATTACTAAATGTAAAAGGAGAAACTTTCGTTTTTCCTTTTGGGCCACCCCACCTCGGTGGGATACGGCCGGTGTGTTGAAGATTAAGTATGTCAAGAGTGTTGCCGTGTTGTTGTTGTTCTTGTTGGTGTATAAGGGCCACTGAGACCATAAGCCATACATAGTAGCGGTGGAGGCGGCAGCAGAGGCGGTCGAGATGGTGGTGTTGTCAGTCGCTTTACATAACTCCAACAACACTGGAGGAGTTAGGTTCGTGCTGTCCTTTTTCTATCAATTAATCGCTTAACTTACTTGCTACAGTTAATGGTACACTTTATCACTGGCTGCAGCTATAGCCTTCATAGACGATGGCATCTAAAGGTAGTTGTTAAAAATTATTAAACTCATTGAACAAGGTATTTCAATGATAACAATATCGCTCTGGGCTGGTGTAGGCAGCTGGTGTAGAGGGGCTTCCTGGCTACCTACACCTTCTGGTTACCTACACACATCAGCTACCTACATCTAACTTCCTACAAATAAATACGACTCACCTCTCACCCTACATAAAGTTAAGTAATGAATGTACTGAGTATGTATTTTACTTTTTATTATTTTTTAATGCCTAGTTCTACTGTTAGCTTAATATATGTTTGAGTAAACTTGTTATCTGGCATTTGTATGCATTAACAAGTGGAAAAAATGGTGTTCTGCTTTCCAGTGGTAGCCTAAAACCTAACCTGCTATATAAGTGGGGCCCTACTGTATAGGTATTTTACTACAATATTGTACATACCCAAAATAGAACTAGTAACCCCTTCTGCTGTACAAGTTACTAAATTAAAAAAAAAAAAAATTTCTTTTTAAGAACACAAGAAAGAAGGAACACTGCAACAGGTCTACTGGGCTATGTGAGGCAGGTCCAATTCTCCCATCGGCTTAAGCAAATGCCTTGAGCTAGTGAGGTCAGACACGTCACTTAAGGGAGAAGCATGGCATCCGACCTAGTAGCACAAGCTAGTCAGGTCCAACTCACACCCACTCATGTATTTATCCAACCTATTTTTAAAACTACACATCTTAGCATCTACGACAGTACTTGGGAATTTGTTCCACTCATCCACAACTCTTATTACCAAACCAATGTTTTCCTATATCCTTCCTAAATCTAAATTTTTCCAATTGGAAGCCATTGCTATGAGTCCTGTCTGTTAGATATTTTTAGCATGTTATTTACATCCCCTTTATTAATATCTGTTTTCCATTTATTTTTTTTTAGGTCACCCTGCCTTGGTGGGATACGGCCAGTTTGTTGAAAAAAAAAAAAATGTGTAAATAAATTTCCTTGGAAACCAATAGATTCTGATTATGGTCATATATACTTTCAGCACCCCAAAAACATTGAAGTGAAATTCATTGTTGCTCCAGAGCTTAAAATTTTTCAGAATTTGCACACCAGTTATTCTATTAGTACTGATATAAATGTTCAATAATATTATTAATATATTACAATTACTTAATTATATGTAGGTGACATTAATACAATGTCACCTACACACCCTGCATAATACTGATCAGTATATACTGTGCATGATGTAAATTAAGGAAAAAATATTATAACTATCATTATTATTATTGAATGTAAAGGCTGTACCCAGTATTTATCTTTGTAAAATGCAGATGCAATTTGCAAATTAAGCACAAGATTAATTATAAATGCAATATACAGTCAAGATCACAAGACCTGTTACAGGTCTGACTGATTTTTCCACAGAGCACTATAGCAGAGCAGTATAGCTGATCTGCCTCAAACAGAACTTTTCTCCAAATATTTATGCCTATCTAGTAGACTCTCATATTACACGGTAGTTACATTCCTGAAAATGCCGTGTTAGGTAAAAATCCATGTTATATAAACTGAAGAACTTGTAGGAAAAATAGGGTTATGTTCCTGTGACCCCCCACAAAAGCCAAACAACTTTTTTTAGACATCCAGATCTTACAAAAATAAAAATGATATTTTTGTTTTTGTTGCTTAAGACTACAAATGCAACAGAAATATTATTATTTACCTTAAAGTGTGGTCCCTGGTGCATGTCAGTGATTGTGAAGAGAGTGGAGATGCATGGTGTGGCCCTACTGGGCTAAGGCGGATGGTTTGTTGGTAGAAGTGGATGGTTGAGGTTCTAGTACTAAAATCAATGGTTCTATTGTAGTGTGCATAAATTCTGTAATGGATCTCAGACTTCTTTTACCCTGCAGTACAATATACATTATTCCAGAAGCTTGGTACTGCCAGGTTGGAACTAGAGTCCATTGATGCAACTAGTTTTTTTTATCACTTTCCTTGTGTAGTTACACTTGAATGACTTAATAACTCCCTGATCCAGTGGTTGTATTAAAGATGTTGCATCTGGAGGTAAAAATACAGCATTTACATGTGAGGTCACCCCAAGCAAAGCTTCTGGACGAGTACAGGAATTATAAAGAATGAAGAGAGCCTTGAATGCAAGGTTCTTGCTGTGCAGGTAAAACTTGACTTCGGAAATAAAGTGATGCTTAAACCAGTCAATATTTCTTCTGTCATCCATGCTGACTGGTCTGACTTCCAAACCTCGAGTATACCTGGAGAGAATTTCTGGGGTCAATGCTCCCGTGGCCTGGTCTGAGACCAGGCCTCGGTGTTTTTATCTACACCTTTCAATGCACGAGGATTCTTAGAACAGTAGATAACCATGGGCTTACACTTGAAATCACCTGATGCATTACCGCAAAGGAGCAAGGTCAAGCGATCCTTTGCTGCCTTGAAGCCCGGTGCAGCCCCGTGGAGACAGTGGTCTCAACCACATCCAGGCGGCAGCCTGAGGTAGGGGAATATTCCACGGGTGATGCTCCAAATTTTGTCGCCTCCGCAAACCAAACCGCGTTAAGTTAATTTTACGAAGCGTTGTATAAAATTATGCTGCAATTTTTCAAAAGTGTAATAACAAAAACGTGACAAATAAATCCGTGTAATATGAGGGCCTACTGTATCTTTACTTTTTTATGATTATAATTATTTTATATATAAAAAAAAGCTTAAGTGAAGAGCTTAAAACCATGTGACAGAATTTTATGGGGAATGAATGACGAAAAAAATAAAAAAGCATTCATTCCTCTTGAAATTCTTTGCTACAAATTATTCATAACAAAATTAGCATGGTCTATATTTGTTGCATTCAGGAAAACTTCAGTAATGTAAATAAAATGACAAAATGGGTTTGAAAAAATGCTAATACCCAAAATCTGCCTAATATTATTCCAAGATGGAATAATCCAGGTTAATGTTAGAAGGTAATCATGAAAGTTGAGTATGATGAATCCCATAAGACTCGTAGACAAGAGTTAGTCATTACCCTGACCTAGGAGGTGGGGGATGATGAGAGGGCTTGAGAGTAACCGTGGGCGGTGGTGGTGGTGGTGGAGGATGGTGTGTAGAGGTGATGTGGTGATGAACCCCCTGAGGTGTGTGAACTACTGTTGTCTGCTGTCCTGGCACACTTACGCTCACCTGAAAACAGAAATGGGACAACTGTAACTACTGCTACCACAGCCTTACTGCAAACAATACTTACATTTCAAGTATTCTCTTGCCCCTACACAGATTCTCTGTGAAAGTACAAATTTTAATATTTCCTCATGTGACAAATCAGTGTTACTATATGCTACTGAATAGCATACATCAGCATAAAATTAAATAATCTAGCATCAAATATAAAAAAAAATTACTAAGAGAACCCCTTTATCTTTCTTCAGTCAAGCTGCAATGCCTACATCAGTCAAACTACAAGCTGCCTGCACCACCCCTGTCAATGATCAGGCCATCATATAGGTCTAGTCAAGACTGGGCCAGGTGAGCAGTATTTTCCAAAGAAATCACTCACATAGCATGCAGGTTACGTTCCTGAAAATTGTGACCAGCAGAAATGAACTTTACATAGTGAATAACACAATGGAAAAACAGGATTATGTTCCAAGCATTAACAGATCAATCCTTCTCTGCAATATACATTTAGAGTACAACTTATTTATCTTCCAACAGCAATGTTGCTTGAGTAATGTGGAATGCCATTTTGGACATTAACTAAGCAATGAGCTCCTTGGTGACTGCCTAGGTCCTAAGTACAAGAGAACACCTGGTGACTGGGCTCTCCAATCACTTAGCTTATTTGAGGTGTGGAGTAGGGGAAGGAAAACTGGTTACTGACTCAGGTAGTTTTTGGCTCTTTACCTACAAAACCTAAAAATCACATCTTTACTACAATAATTCTATATGAGCATCAGGTTTATTTCTTGCAGCTTTTGATGCCTTAAGTAAACCTCTCGAGGGCCACACTTGCAATAATGAAGGTGTTCAGAAAACCGAGGTGTTGAAAAACATTATCATTACAGCAGTAGTATGGAAATAAATGGTATAAAATACCGACACAATGGAAATACAAACACACATGCAGTATAATGTGATCCTTTATTGACAATGTTTCGCCCACACAGTGGGCTTTTTCAGGTCACAAACAGATCTACCTGGGTGGAAGGTACGCGAGTATTTATAGTCAGATTCAGAATGCTGGGTCAGGTGGAGAATGCTGCATCTGATGATCTACCGAGTGGGGTTATAGAGTCTAAAATCTTGGGTAGCTTGGAAGGGAGATTGGATAAGTTTGTGAGCAGACCTTCTGCAGTGTTCCTCCATTCCTATGTTCTTATGTGGGATAGCGATGAAGAAGTTTCTTGGCAAGTGGTTCAGCTATGCTATAGAAGCCATTGTTCTGGTTGAAGTTGTCAGATATAGAGATAAGCGATGATTCCAGGATTCTTCGGTATTGAGTGTTGTCTTCTCTGGCAATAAGTCTCGAGTTTCTGTAGTTTATTAAATGGTTGCGTGAATTACGGTGCTGTACAAAGGCATTTCTTGTATCGTCAGACCTGCTTGCCTATTGGTGTTCTGAAATACGTGTTTGGAGGTCTCTTGACTATAAATACTCGCGTACCTTCCACCCAGGTAGATCTGTTTGCGACTTAAAAAAGCCCACTGTGTGGGCAAAACGTCAATAAAGGATCACATTATACTGCATGTGTGTTTACATTTCCACAGCAGTAGTATACTGAAATTAAACTACTCGGTTATCAGCTGACTGGAGGATACATATCAGCCACTACAATTATGAATCTTACATGCTCAAAACATTCTCTATGGCACCTTTCATGAGTTTTCAGAGTTCTTCTACTCCTAGAGCCTGGTCTTGGACAAGGCTTGTCTGATGCTTGCCTGGTCAACCAAGCTGTTGCTTCTCGTGGCATGCTGGCCACCAGAAGCAAAAAAATTTATTTTTTCTTATGAAATGATAGAGAATCTTTTCCCAATCATAAGGACACCAAAAGTATGAAATTTGATGGAAAACTTATGGAATTACGCTCTCGCGAATTTAGCAGTCTCGACGATGTTTACTCATTGGCGATTTCGCCCACTTTGAGCCCTATTTTCAGCCAATTCCAGTGTATATAACAACAAAAGAAAGGAGGAACACTGCAGCAGGCCTGCTGGCCCATACTAGGCAGGTTCTTTACAATCCATCCCACTAACATAATATTTGCCCAATCCAATTTTCAATGGCACCCAAGAAATGAGCTCTGATAACTCTATCCGCTCTCATATGCAAGTCCCACTCGAATCCAACCCCTCTCACTCATGTATTTAACCTAAATTTGAAACTACCCAATAGTTTTAGCCTCAATAACCCAACCAGGTAGACTGTTCCACTCATCAACTACCCTATTTCCAAACCAATGCTTTCCTATATCCTTTCTAAATCTAAACTTGCCTAATTTGAATCCATTACTGCAGGTTCTCTCATGGAGAGGTATCCTCAAGACCTTATTTACATCCCCTTTATTAATACCCATCTTCCACTTATACACATCGATCATGTCTCCCCTCATTCTTCGTCTAACAAGTGAATGTAATTTAAGGGTCTTCAATTTTTCTTCATAAGGAAGATTTCTAATGCTATGTATTAATTTCGTCATTCTACGCTGAATGTTTTCTAACAAATTTTTTCTATCGAATGAGTACAAGAAACCACCCATTTACCAAATTCAACTGTCCAATAAAGTTGTCAGAAATTGGCAATTTTGCCAATTTCACACAAATTTCAAAAGATGCCAATTTCCATGTAGGGTCCAGAATAAACAAGACAGACATTCCTGGAACTAAAATAACATTTTCTCTGTTCATTAGTCACGTCCCCAGGCCTCTCTTACATTTCTTTTGCTATCCACTCTGAATTTTTATTCTCACAAAAAATAGAAGATTTACTGCTATGCAGACTACTGCATTGGTGTAGAAATGGTATAAACCTACCATCCGACTTACGACCTGCTCGACTTACGACCACTCGACTTACGACCGTGTTTTTTATGCCAAATTTCTGGGAAATAAACAACTATTTGTGTTGTACACAGTGTTTATCCTAAACCTTACAGTATAAAATACAGTACTAACAACATAAAAAGTAAAGCAAAACATGAAATACCAAAATAAAACAATAAAATAAAATCATTACAAAAATGTTTTGTTGATATTCAGTAGTAAAGTTCGACTTAACAGCCGGTTTCTCGGAACCGAACTCGGTCGTAAGTTGGATGGTAGGTGTAATATCAGCGCACTTGTGAAAGAATATCAGACTCACCATTTGACGAGTGTTGGACACGTGGCATGATTTGTTTACTTTTGAACTTAGGCAAATATTGAACATTTCTGCTACTTTGAGCTCAATTTCAAGGTACTTTTCATTGTGAAACCAATCAAAAGCATTTCACTTTCTGTAATATGTTGTCCATTCCATAAAATGGGACCAGGATAATTAGAATACAACCATAAATACCATACGAAAATACAGTGGACCCTTGCCTAACGACGGCATTGCATAACATTAAATCCGCCTAGCGATACATTTTAACGCAAAAATTTTGCCTTGCCTAGCGCTAAAAAACTTGCTGAACGCGATTCGTTCGAGACGCGTCCATGTGTGGCCTGAGCCAGCCTCTCTTGTTCCGTGGGTGGCAGTGTTTACAAGCCAGCCTCCGTGGTCACATCCAAGCATACAATCGGAACATTTTGTATTATCAGAGCGTTTTTAGTGATTTCACCTGCAAAGTAAGTGACCATGGGCCCCAAGAAAGCTTCTAGTGCCAACCCTACAGCAATAAGGGTAAGAATTACTGTGGATATGAAGAAAGAGATCATTGCTGAGTATGAAAGTGGAGTGCGTGTCTCCGACCTGGCCAGGTTGCATAGTAAACCCCAATCACCCATTGCTACTATTGTGGCCAAGAAAACGGCAATCAAGGAAGCTGTTCTTGCCAAAGGTGCAACTTTGTTTTCGAAACAGAGATCGCAAGTGATAGAAGATGTTGAGAGACTGTTATTGGTGTGGATAAATGAAAAACAGATAGCAGGAGATAGCATCTCTCAAGCGATCATATGTGAAAAGGCTAGGAAGTTGCATGAGGATTTAATTAGAAAAATGCCTGCAACTAGTAGTGATGTGAGTGAATTTAAGGCCAGCAAAGGTTGGTTTGAGAGACTTAAGAATCATAGTGGCATACATAGTGTGATAAGGCATGGTGAGGCTGCCAGTTCGGACCACAAAGCAGCTGAAAAATACGTGCATGAATTCAAGGAGTACATAGACAGTGAAGGACTGAAACCTGAACAAGTGTTTGTGATGAAACAGGCCTGTTTTGGAAGAAAATGCCAAACAGGACCTACATTACTCAGGAGGAAAAGGCACTCCCAGGACATAAGCCTATGAAAGACAGGCTTACTCTGTTGATGTGTGCTAATGCTAGTGGTGATTGCAAAGTGAAGCCTTTATTGGTGCATCACTCTGAAATTCCCAAAGCATTCAGGCAAAATAATATCCTCAAGGCTAATTTGTGTGTGCTGTGGAGGGCAAACAGTAAGGCATGGGTTATTAGGAACTTTTTCTATGACTGGTTACACCATGCATTTGCCCCCACTGTGAAAAATTACCTAATTGAAAATAAATTTGACCTTAAGTGCCTCCTGATATTAGACAAAGCTCCTGGTCATCCTTCAGACGTGGCAGAGCGACTTTCTGCAGACATGAGCTTCACTAACATCAAGTTTTTGCCTCCTAATACCACTCCTCTCCTGCAGCCCATGGACCAGCAGGTCATTGCAAACTTCGAAGAACTGTACACAAAAGCTCTGTTTGAAAGGTGCTTTGTAGTGACTTCAGAAACTCAATTGACTCTAAGAGAATGTTGGAGAGATCACTTTAATATTCTCAATTATGTAAACCTTATAGGTAAGGCTTGGGAGGGAGTGACTAAGAGGACCTTGAACTCTGCTTGAAAGAAACTTTGGCCAGAATGTGTAGACAAAAGGGATTTTGAAGGATTTGAGGCTAACCCTGAGAAGCGTAAGCCAGTTGTGGAATCAACTGTGGCATTGGGGAAGTCCTTGGGGTTGGAGGTTAGTGGGGA